CTTTCAAACCCTGAACCCTAAACCCTAAACCAACCCTAAACCCTAAACCCTAAACCCTAAAACCAACCCAAGCACACCACAGGGGGGGGGGTTAACCCTAAACCCTAAACCCTTTCAAACCCTAAACTCTAAACCCTAAACCCTGAACCCTGAACCCCAAACCAACCCTAAGCCCTAAACCCTAAAACCAACCCCCAACCACAACCACACCACAGGGGGGGTGGGGGGTGAACCCTAAAACCCTTTCAAACCCTCAACCCTAAACCCTAAACCATGCCATAAACAACCCGAACCCTAAAACCAACCCCAACCACACCACAGGGAGGGGCGGGGGGGGGGGGTGGTTCCAGACCATGGGTGGGGGGGGGGGGGGGGGGGGGGGGCCCGGGGAGCACTGGAGCATATATAGGGCCCTAGTTCCCTCATTCCCTACTAAGAACCACCTAAAGCCTTAAATCACTAAATCCTGGATTTGAGGGTCCCGGCCTCTGGGCTTTCAACTTGCCATCGGGGAATTCTTGGGTTTGAGGGGTCTAGCGTGTACTTGTGACGGTGGGTTTCCCTAAACCCTAAACCCTAAACCCTAAACCCTAAACCCTGGCGCCTGGAGGCTGTAGTCCTTGGATACGACGACCTAGACGGCGGACTCCGCGGGGGGAGGCGGGGGTTCGGGGGTTAGGGTTTAGGGTTTAGGGTTTGGGGTTTGGGGTTTGGGGTTTCGGGTTTAGGCTTTAGGGTGTAGGGTTTTGGGGATCCCAGAACCCTAAAACCTAAACCCCGAACCCCAAAGTCCAGAAAGCCTGCACACTAACAAAAACCTACATCCTCAACTCCAGAACCTTGAACCTAGAACCCTAGAACCCTAGAACCCTAGAACCCTAGAACCCTAGAACCCTAGAACCCTAGAACCCTAGAACCCTAGAACCCTAGAGGGTGCAGGGTTGGAGATCTTGACCCTCAACCCCTCCAACTTTAGACAAAACCCCTAACCCCTTAAGCAACTAAACCGTCAAACCCAAAACCCTTGAGCCTTCAGACTCCAAAACCCGAAACCCCAAAAAACCCCAAAACCCCCAAAACCCCTTCATTAAAACCCCCTAAAACCCCTAAAACCCCTAAAACCCCTAAAGCTCCTAAAGCTCCAAAAGCCCCTAAAACCCCTAAAACCGAAAACCCCTAAAACCTCTAAAGCCCCTAAAGCCCCTAAAACCCCTAAAACCCCCTAAAACCCCTAAACCCCGAAACCGTAAGATCCGTCCTCGCCCAAAGCGCGATTCACGCTTTCCAGGGCAGCCGGATCCATGGCGATTTCGGGTTTCGGGTTTGGGGTTTAGGGTTTAGGGTTTAGGGTTTAGGGTTTGGGGTTTGGGGTTTAGGGATAGGCGGGGGCTGCCGCTTTTCCATGAGCGACTCTGGGAAATGACATGGCTGGTGTTTAGGGTGGGGTCTGCAGGGTTTGGGGTTCCGGGGGCGGGGGGGGGGGGTAAGGCCCGCGAAACTTGAGTCAGGCTTCGAGGTTCATTGAGGCCTTTTGGGGCTTGGCTGGGTGTTGAGTTTAGGGTTTCAGGGGTTTAGGTTTTAGGGTTTAGGGTTTAGGGTTTAGGGTTTGGGGTTTCAAGGGTTTAGGTTTTAGGGTTTAGGGCTTGGGGTTGCAGGGGTTTAGGGTGCTAGGGTTTTTGGGCTTTTGAGTTTTCCCATCTGGCCTGCCTCGTCGGAAAACAAGCTGCGGAGGGCGATACAGAAAGTAGAATCTCCAAGCTATGTAGCACCGAAACTACGATTGCGAAAGGAAATTTATACACTAACCCCTTAAACCGCTAAACGCTAAACTCTAAACCTTAAACCCTAAACCGCAGACCCCGAAACCCTAAGCCCTAAACCCTCTGGAAGGTGCGAGTCGTGCAGTGGTTTAGGGTTTAGGGCTTACGGTTTCGGGCTTCGGGTTTAGGGTTCAGGGTTTAGGGTTTTTAGGGTTTATGGGTTCGTAGGGCTTATAGGGTTTGGGGGTTCTGCGCCAGCATGGTTGTTGAAGGAGATGCCGAATGTAGCCACTTGGACGAGGTTAGGTGGCATGCACAAGTTCCACTTCGGAGAAGCAGCCATTGATATACTCGCATGTAGTTGCTACACTTGGCCCAAAATGCCCCTTTAACTCGCAACATCTCATAACTTCGTACCCTCGAAGCGTTAAGGCAATGTGCAGCAAATCTTGGAACATGCTGCTTGTTCAGCAACTGCCGCCACCGCTGCCTGACACCATGGAGGACTGCATCACTTAGGGTTCAGGGTCATGCAGGGCCTTGGGTGTTAGGACTTGGGCGCCTTAGCCATTGACGCCAAGAAAATCTTGGGCCGCAAGCAATAAAGCCCACAAACCCTAAACCCTAAACCCTAAACCCTATGAAGGCCCCTGAAGCCAGCGCGCACTTGGCGTCAACTCCTGCTTGTTGATGTTCTTGCCGATGAAGGTGAGCTTGCAGATGCGCCTTGGTCGAACTTCGCCCTAAACCCTATGGCCTATAGGTTTTAGGGTTTAGGGTTTAGGGGTTTAGGGTTTAGGGTTTAGGGTTTAGGGTTTAGGGTTTAGGGTTTAGGGTTTAGGGTTTAGGGTTTAGGGTTTAGGGTTTAGGTTTAGGGGTTAGGGTTTAGGGTTTAGGGTTTTGGGTTTAGGGTTTAGGGTTTAGGGTTTAGGGTTTAGGGTTTAGGGTTTAGGGTTTAGGGTTTAGGGTTTAGGGTTTAGGGTTTAGGGTTTAGGGGTTTTTGGATTCAAACTGCACAGCTCCGGATGGCTACAAGGGCCTGTCTGGGCTCTGACATGTACAATCCTTATGCGCCCCAAAGGTAAAGGGGTTAGGGTTTTAGGGTTTAGGACAACCCTCACAACCCTGAGCCCTAAACCCTAAGTCCCAAACCCGTAACCTTGAACCCCTTGCACCCTGAACCCTAAACCCCTAAACCTAAACCCTAAACCCGAAACCCGAAACCCGAAACCCGAAACCCGAAACCCTGAGCGTTGGGTGCCAAGCTCCTCGTCAGCCTCCCATGCACGCTGCGGCGAGCCGGAGAAAGCCATGTGCACTGCCTGGCACAAGCCCCAAACCCTGAACCTTACACTCCAAACCCTAAACCCTAAACCTTATAAACCGTAAACCCTATACCCTAAACCCTAAACTCCAAACTCTAAACCTTATACCCTGTACCCTAAACCCTAAACCCGCGCCAGGGAGTCGTGCACGGGGCTTCGGGTTTCACGCCTCGAGCCAAAGGCCCGAACCCACGATCTTGAACTCCCCAAACCGCGAAGACCCCCCCAAACCCGAAAACCCGAAACCCAAAACCCTAAACCCTAGCCCTAAACCCTAAACCCCAAACCCTAACCCCAAACCCTAGCCCTAAACCCTAAACCCCAAACCCTACACCCTCAACTAGGCCCTGGGCAGCCCACCTGGAAGACAAACTTCTCCTTCATGCCTTGCACCGCCAGGACGCCCTTTGTCCGGAAGAGGTCCACTCCACGCCTTCGACCAACAACGCTCCAAGAGTGCGGCTTCGGGTTTAGGGTTTAGGATTTAGGGTTCAGGGTTTAGGGTTTAGGGTTTGGGGTTTAGGGTTTAGGGTTTGGGGTTTAGGGTTTAGGGTTAGGGTTTAGGGTTTGGGGTTTAGGATTTAAGGTTTAGGGTTTAGGGTTTAGGATTTTGGGGACTTTGGGTGGGATGTGTGTGTGCGTGTTTGCTTGCTTTATATGTTTGTCTCTTTGTTTTTCCTATTTTTCCTTCTTTTATTTGTTTGGGGGGGGGGGGAGGGAGGGGGGCTTAGGACCTCGGGATTTCGGGGCTGACTGCCTCTGGGTTTGGGTTTCGGGGTGCAGGCCTCCACCCCCCGAAGCCGTGCCAAGGCCCCCTAAAGCCTAATCCTAGCTGGGGATCATAAGCGGGGTAGCTTAGGTACACTTGGCCATAACCCCTTTCGGGTACATCTAACAGTACTGGCAACTAAGCTCCTAAAACCCTAAACACCTTAAACCCCCTAAACCCCTTAAACCCCCTAAACCCCGAAATAAACCACCAAAACCCAAAACCCTGAACCCTACACCCCCCAAAACCCCAACTCTCTGAAATCCAAAGTTTCTGCCCCAAACCCTCAACCCTAAACCCTAAACCCTGAACCCTAAACCCTAAACCCTAAACCCTAAACCCTAAACCCTAAACCCTAAATGCCAGAAGTCGGGATTCCGAGGCTTGCACTCCTTGAGCAGCCAGCCCAGCCATTCGTTCAGCTTCTGCTGGTCCACCTTCCACTCTTCCACGCTTTGTGCCCTAAACCCTAAACCCTAAACCCTAAACCCTGAACCCTGAACCCTGAACCCTAAACCCTGAACCCTAAACCCTAAACCCGGAACCCTCGAGGAGCATGCGAGTCTGCCAGGGGGTCTTTAGCTCAGCCTCCAAGGCTGCCCACATTGATGCAAAGCATGCTGGGAGTTCTTGTGAAGGAATGTAGCAGAGGGGCCTTGGTCATTAGAATAGGATTTAGGATTTAGGATTTAGGATTTAGGGTTTAGGGTTTGGGGTTTAGGGTTTACTGTTTAGGGTTTAGGGTCTTGGGTCTTGGGTCTTGGGTCTTGGGTTTTGGGGGGCGTTCTTCTGGTATAATTATAGGGGACCAGAATGCCATTAGGTAATTACTCCGACCCCTTTGGCGAGTTAAGCTACTCGAATGATGGGAACCATGTTGTTTACCGCTTTCTTTTGCTGGGAAGCCAGCATGTGCACAATACAGGCCTTTTGCTGCATTCAGTGCTCAAAAGTGCATGTGGCTAGCAGTTACGCACGCGGGCATGTTCAGTACCTAGGCATCACTTCCCCGCAAACAACGCGTTGCAAAAGCCACCCAAAACTACCATGGCCGCCAATGTCGGCATGCCTATGCTGTACAAGATGCCGCTAGGCACCTCGGCTGTCACTTTACATGTTGTTGACATAGAAATGGCCACGTGTAGCCTAGTACTTCAGCTGCAGCACAAACTCCCACTTGCCAGATGGGGACTCAACTCCCACGACCGTGGCACCAAGACCATACACGTCGTAAGGGCCACCCGTGTCAGAGCCGGAATTGGGTGCATGCGGCTTGAAGCCCCACGTCTCCATGCATTTCTGAAGCACACAGTCCACGTTCCGGCCCAAAGTCATCTGCAGGCTGCCAAGGTTCGAGGTGTCCACATCCTGCTTGCTGAAACAAGACTCAGCGAAGTGGATGAGATCCGCCTCCTGTTGCTGCGTCGCGTCGCCGCGGTGGTGGCTGTGCACAGACACAGGTGCATGACTAGCATTGGTGGACCCCGCTTTTAAGCCGCTGTGCCCCTTTCGGAGCATGAACTGCCAGTGCCCGGAGGGCGTCTCAACCGCAATCATGGTGACACGCGATCCGACTCCGTAGATGTCGTAGGGCCCGCCCGTGTCAGGCCCAGAGCCCACAAGCACCGGGTGCCATCCCCAGGCCTGGTCCAGGTTGCTCAGCACGCACCCCGTGGCCACTCCCAACGTCCCTTGGAGCACCACTTCACCCTGGTCGGTCTGCACCGCATTCCGCGTGAAACAGTCCTGCGTGGCCTTCAAGATGTCGCCGAGGTGATTGTTGTCCGCCCAGCCTTGCAGCAGGCACCTGGTCGAGATGCTGCTCTTGCGGCTCAGGAAGTCTTCTCCTGCAACCGTCAGGCACAGGAGTGTGCAGCAAAGGGCCTTCTGCATCATGGCCACCGATGGGAGCAGAGGTGGCTATGTGCAATACGCCGACGCAGATGGGAGCTTCAGTCCTTACAGCTACTGAGCAGAAAGGGTGCCCGGTCCAGTCAGGGATGATCTGCAAGCCTCGGCGGGAAGCCGCAAGACAAACAAAAAAGTACCCTAAACCCTAAACCAGACCCCAAACCGGTAGAAATCTTGCAGCCCGCCTTTAAGGACCTCAACTTAAACCCTAAAAAAACCCTAGGCCCTAATGTAGGGGTCGGAACAATTCTTAATAGTATTCCCTTAGGGTCCCTGTATATGTTTAGTATAAGAACCCCCCAAAAGCCCTATTCTAACTATTAAGGCCCCGAAAAGGGACGAGAGGAGGCCATGAGCCACTTAGAGGTTTACAGCGGTTCATAGCACTTTTCACCCCATCAGAGTTGTACTTATAAGCCCTAAACCCTAAACCCTAAACCCTAAACCCTAAACCCTAAACCCTAAACCCCTAAACCCTAAACCCACTTGTAAGCCCCTCAAGTGCCCTAATAGGGTTGTAAGTGGGGCGATCAGTACATCTATCACCGGGTTAGTAAGTTCCATGAGCCTCCAAGCAGGGTCTTTAGCTTGGACTCCAGGAATGCCAAATTGATGCAAAAGTACTGGGTTGTCGAGCCTGAAACCCTAAGCCCTGACCCTAAAACCCCTAAAACCTCGAAAAACCCCAAACGCGGGACCTCGCCCTTGACGTGGAAGCCCGCGGACGTCACGCGGTCATCGTGCTGGTGGTCCTGGTTATCCTGACCAGGATGTACTTGGGCTTTGGGCTGTGGGTGGGTTTAGGGTTTAGGGTTGAGGTATTAGGGTTTATAGGGTTTAGGGTTTTGGATCAACCCCAACCCAAGTTACACCCTGAACCCGAAACCCCAACCACACGATTCGACCCCCAGCCTGAAGCCACGAATCCCTAAACCCCCTACACCTCTAAACCCTTAAACCCTTAAACCCCTAAACCCCGAAACCCTAAACCCGAAACCGCAAACTCCCGAACTCCCCTAAACCCTTTCTCTAAGTTGCCCTAAACCCTCAACCCTAAACCCTAAACCCTAAACACAAAAACCCGAGACCCCACCTCCAGGAAGGCTTCGTCCATCTCGAGGATCTTATCCAAGTCGAAGGCCTGGATACCCAGGATGAAGTCCATGTCGACCTGCGCTTTTCTCTGAAAGGGTTTAGGGTTTGGTTTAGGGTTTAGGGTTTAGGGTTCAGGGTTTCGGGTTTAGGGTTTCGGGTTTCGGGTTTCGGGTTTCGGGTTTCGGGTTTCGGGTTTCGGGTTTGGGATGCAGGACTCAGAAAGTGCCAGAGTTTCGCGTCTCGGGCTTAGTAGACTTCGGATGTAGGGCTTTGTTTAGGAGGTTCAGCGCTGGGAACACTTTTCGGGCTGCTTGTACAAGCAAAAAAACTGGGTTTACGGTTTATGGCTTAGGCTTCTAGGGCAACTTGGAGGACTCAATAAGCAGACAACCCCAATGATGATGGGCCTCGCTCTGCGTGGTGCGCCGGATCTTCACCTGAGTTTTCTTTCGGGGGCTTTGGCAAATCTGAGGCCTTAGGGGGTTCAGGGCTTAGGGCCTTCGGCTGGGGGCTTAGGCCTTAGGACTGAGGGCTTCGGGGGCTCAGGGCTTAAGACTTAAGGCTTAGGGCTTCAGGGCTTTAGGGCTTAGGGCTTAGGGCTCAGGGCTTAGGGTTTAGAGCTCAGGGCCTAAGGAAGGAGTTCGGAGTGTTTCGGGTTGAGGGTGGGGGTCTCGGGGTGTCGGGGTTGAGGGTAGGGTCTCCCAGGTGCTTGTGGGGGGTGTCAGGGGTTTGCCGTTCATGCTCCACAGGCCTCGTTTTTCTAACCGAAGCTTTAAGCCCGAAACCCTTAAAACCCTAAAACCCTAAAACCCTAAAACCCCTAAAACCCCTAAACCCCTAAACCCCAAAACCCTAAACCCCAATACCCTAAAACCCTAAAACCCAGAAGAAGAACACCGCAAGAGCGCTGCGTAGGTGATTCGAAGACCGAGCACTTGGGGTCTTTGCGGCTTCTAAGATGGTTTGCGGTTTTAGGGTTTAGGGTTTCGGGCTTAGGGTCCAGGGTTTAGGGTTTAGGGTTTAGGGTTCAGGGTTCAGGGTTCAGGGTTTAGGGTTTAAGGTTTAGGGTTTAGGGGCAAATTCGGATCAACTCTGACATCCATCCGACATGCCCACAAACCCTCAAAAGTCACGGTAAGCACTGGAGCCAGTTGGGAAGCAGGCAGACTCGTTGATCATGCGTATTCTCCTGGCATTACAGCACGGGATGAAACCCTACAATCTGGGGTTTAGGGTTTCGGGCCTACTGGCCTAAATGCCCTATCTACCCGCTACCGTGACAAAAAATGCTTCCGGTGCGGTTTAAAAAAAAGGAATGGATCAAAAAATCAAACTCACCTCCCAACCCCAACTTTCAACCCTAATGAGGAAGAGGGTTTAGGGATTAGAGCTTAGGGTTAAGGATTTCAGCGTTTAGGGTTTAAGGACTTTAGCTTGGTAGTTTAGGAACTAAGGCGGCTTCCCCCATCCCAGCATGAGCATGGTTCCATCCAAGTCCCTGCAACCCTCAATCCTTGAAGCCCATCAAAGCCAAAAAAACCTTCAAAAACTAAAAGCCTCAAACGCCCGTAATGCCCCTAAGAACCCCACACCCTCTCTCGGTCACTAAAGCCCCCGGGCCCAAATAACGTGAAATCCAGGGTCTTTGATCACTGGGTGGTGCGTTAAAGCCCCTCGATGAATATTTATGAATAGGTTCCCGTGAATGGGAAAGAACGGAAATTAAAGTTATCCCAATGCGCTACCCAGATCATATCAGGGCAGATAGGATCCCCGAATGCCAGAAAAGCCCCAAAACCTAAACCCGACATCCTGAACCTCCGGCCTCTCCACCTCGGTGAGATGCGCCTCTTACTGTGGGGGCTTTTGGGGGTTCAGGGTTCAAGGGGTAACAGCTGAAGGCTTAGGAGGGTTTAGGGTTTAGGGCTTAGGGTTTAGGGCTTAGGGCTTAGGGCTTAGGGTTGAGGTTTTCAGTCCATGAAGTTCAAGGTTTAGGGGTTTAGAGTCTTAGGGCTCAGCTCATGGCTTGACGGTTCCAGGGTCTACGGGGGTTTAAGTTTTAGAGTCTAGGGCCAAATCTCCCCTCATTGCCAGCTTAGGGCAAAATCCCCCCTCATTGCCAACGTCAATTGAATAACATGACCCATCAGTTAAACAAATACTGAAGAATACAGTAACAATAAAGAAGAGTAAAAATCAGAACAAGAAAACAAAATTAAACAAATCGACAAGAATAAGGACCCCAAAACAACCCTAAACTATTACTTGCTGAAGAACCGCAAGAAACGAAAATATATTCTTCCTCATTAAGGGTAATACAGGGACTATTATGTTAATTCTTTTGGGGTTCTTAAGCAAATAGTAGTAAACCCTAAACCCCCAAAATAGACCAAACCCACTTTTGAGCAAATCTTGATCTCAACACCTAAACCTAAACACTAAACCCAAGACTGCCTCGTCGACGAGATCGCACTTGTTCAGGAGGATCCGGTCCGCAAAAGCGAGCTGCCAAGGATCTTCTTGGAGTTTAGGGTTTAGTCTTTTGCTGCTTTCAGGTTTAGGGTGTAGGGGTTTAGGGGTTTAGGGGTTTTGGGGTTTAGGGGTTTTGGGGTTTTGGGGTTTAGCGTTCAGGGTTCAGGGTTTGGGGACATGGTCCCATAGCATGGGCCCTTAAACCACACTTCAGAACCCTTTAAAGAAGGTAAGGGACCATATTAAGGGACCGGTTGGCTTCTGGAGCTGGGCTAGCCGTGTTTAGGCTTCTCGGGGCTGCGAGGCCCTTTAGAACTTAAACCCCAGACCCTAGATGAACTCTTAAAGCCTAAACCCTAAACCCTAAACCCTAAACCCTAAACCCTAAACCCTAAACCCTAAACCCTAAACCCTAAACCCTAAACCAAACCCTACACCCTAAACCCTAAGAAACCCTCATTCTGAGAGATCCTGTCAGCTGCAGAAAGGAAACCCAAAGTAAGGGCCAACAATTGACTGGCGCTTGGGCCTCAAAGTCCACCTGGCCTACATGAGCGCTTTTGGATGGTTTAGGGTTTAGGGCTAGGGTTTATGGCTTATGGACTTTAGGATTTAGGGTTGAGGGTTTAGGGTTTAGGGTTTAGGGATCAGGGTTTAGGCCTTTGGGGTTGTCCTCCCTCAGCCCTAAAGAAACCCTCGGACTGGGTCTCGGCCTGTTCCACCGCCTCGTTCTCCACGCCTTCGGGCTTGTCCTTCGGAGGGGTGCAGAGTCTTTCGCTTCGGTTTAGGAGGGGGGGTGTTTAGGGTTTAGGGTTGAGGGTTTGGGGTTTAGGGTTTAGGGTTTGGGGTTTAGGGTTTGGGGTTTAGGGTTTAGGGTTTAGGGTGTAGGATCGGGTACTGGGGTTGGTGTTGTAAGTTGAGGAATTTGGGCGTAAGGACTTTGGGCCTCAGGGCTTAGGGGCTTCTAGCTTTGCGCTCAGGGTGTAGAGGTTACGGATCGCCATGAGCCCAATGGTCTTAGGCTTTAGGGTTTCGGGTTTAGGGTTTAGGGTTTCGAATTTCAGGTTTAGGCTGTTTAGGTTTGGGGTTTAGGGTTTAGGCTTTAGGGTTATCATACCGGGAACCCTAAACACCCCAAACCCATTCACACCTCTTTATGGCTCTCTTGGTAGCCCAGCAACCATACTATACTAAGGGCGCCCTCTTTGCTGGTTGGTTACTTTACAAGAAGATAACCTTGAACCAAAAAATGGGAAAAGTGCAGCGCTGGGCTACCAAGCTATGAACTTCCAGACATTCGGGCCTCGAAAACCCCTGAGCCTTTAGGCAGTGTCCTTCTCATTCTTGTGGCCTTTGGCTGAGTCACCGAGCAATTCTTCGGGTTTGGGGTTTAGGGTTTTTCAGGGTTTCAGGTTTGG